GAATACATTCCCTTTTGATCATTTAAAAATTTAATTGGCAACGGGATAAAAGAATGTTTAAACCTATTGCACCTGCACAATGGGACCCTAAACCTCCTCCCTGAATTCATCAGCCTATATTCAGGGTAAAGCACATGTGTATTGTCAGACAAGATACTTCTAGCTTGTCTGCTTATGGCCTGCTCAAACAGCTCCTGTGGATTAAGGGGAGCGGGAGTACCCATAGTTTTACCCGCTGTCCTAACTAAGCTGGAGATCTGTGCTTTAGATGTAACTGTTAAATTACCAAACCAGCTAGTCATGCCATACCTAAAGATCGATTCAATCACTGCTCTGTAGAAAATCAACATAATATGTTTACAAACGCCAAATAGTCTAAGTCTATGCGAAAAATGAAGGCGCTGGTGGATTCTGGTACAGACACTTGTCACCTGTGTGCGCCAGCCCAAATCGCTATCAATGTGAACTCCAAGATATTTAAATGAGCTCACTTGCTCGATCTCATGGCCATAAATGGCCACAGGGTCATTTATGTTAATCTGCAGTTTATGTGCATCACACCAGGCCACAAGGTTTTCTACCGCTGCATGATGGGTGTTCAAATTAGAGTTTTTTGTTAGCAGACTGAGTAGAATGGTGTCATCAGAAAATTTCACTATGTATTGATTTGGCTCCACACTGACACAGTCATTTGTATAGAATGTAAACAAAAATGGTGAAGATACTCGCCCCTGAGGGACGCCAGTACTACATACTGCTATGTCAGATAAAGCAGAATTAAACCTCACCTGCTGTGGCCTGTCATACAGAAAAGAATGTAACCACTTGATTAAAAAAGGATTTACCTTTGCCTGGGCTAGCTTACAGAGGAGAATGTGTGGCTGTATTACGTTAAAAGCTGAACTGAAGTCAATAAAAAGTCATCTGGCATATGCAGTCGGACATTCAAGATGCTTCAAAATGAGATGCATTATTGTTGCAATGGCGTCACTTGTGCTTCGATTTTTTTGTATAAGCAAACTGATATTTATCAAGCAATGGCTCCACATCTGTACGTAACTTTTCTAACATAAGCCTCTTAAATGTTTTAATCATTATCCTCGCGAGGGCACCCCTTTTTGGGTACCGGGATGATAACAGATTTTTTCCACAGTACCGGCACAGTATAAGTATCTATAGAGAACTGAAATAATTTATGCCAGGCAGATGACAACTCCTCAGCAAAAGTCTTTAACACAAACGTGGACATATTATCTGGGCCCGTGGCTTTGTTAGTGTGTATAGTTGTAAAGATCTTAGTAACAGCATGTGATTCAATTAAAATTCTGTCCGAGTTCATATCACAAATTACATTCTCTAAAACTGCCATACATACCTTAACATTGTCATTATCTGTATGAAAGCGCAAATAAAAATTATTCAGTTCATTGGGCCTAGCAGTTTCGCAGACAGTGGCTTCCTTTATATGTCCATATTGGTCATCTGTCTGATTGAATTCCACAGTTTCTTTGTATTAGATGTATACAAGTCCTGTTCTGCCCGCTTGGAAATTGAGGTCCTTTTGAGCATCACGGACACCTGATAAAAAACCAGGCAGTGTTTTAGTCAGGCTACAATGATTAAAATCACAGAGTATCAGAATAGGTGCATCAGGTTTACTCTGGAGAAGGTGGTGAACACAGTCCATAATCTGCTTAGCTGCTCTATTGGCATTCCCGCTTGGTGGAATATATACAAGACACACAAAGATGTTAGTGAATTCCCTAGGCAGGTAATGTGGTCGCAGGGTAACGCACAGCAGTTCGAGATCAGGATTACATATTTTCTCTCTAATTGCAATATTACGACACCAACTGTCTCTTATATAGATACACACACCCCCTCCCTTAGTTTGACCTGAATTTGCATCTCTGTCCAATCGTACGTGGGAGAAACCCTCAATTTGTATAAGATTGTCAGGCACATCATTCCCAAACCACGTTTCAGTAAAAGCCATTAGACCAGACCCACGGAATTCATAACAGGCTCCCACCTGCTGGCGTAGGTCATCCATTTTTTTAAAGAGCGAGAGTTGCAGAGAATCATAGGTGGCAGCGGCAGTCTGTTTGCTCTCCGAACCCGCTGCCTGATGCCACCCCTCCGCACTCTCTTCCTGGCTTTCCCACAACGGCAGAGGCCTGGGCCTTCGGGACTCCGAAGTAGCTCCCGGACTTTTATGGACTTCCTTGGTGTTAGTGGTCCCATTTTATATTAGTGGTCTTTCTTTCGCCCTCTGCAGGCACCGTGTGGTTAAATGTGCTGAGGGGACCACTGGAGGTATTGGGTGGCGCGGTCACTGGTGTGGCCCTAGGGTACTTTCTACGTTACTTCCCCAGCAGAGACCAGGTACGTGAGCTACAACTTTATGATTGAGAAGTACATGCTGAGATTCAAAAATTGATGTTGTCAGGTTAAAAGTGTTCATGGTTGTTGGTGATTTGTGTCTTTTATCTTACCACGCAGGGAAATCTCGTGCTGAAGCGTTCCTTCCTGTTGTTGGGGCTGGCCGTGTTTGCTTTGTTTGGCTGTAACGTGGCTGGGATTCCTGGCGCAGGAGGACTCTGTTCGCTGGTGCTGACGTTTGTGGCTGGAATAGGCTGGGGGAATGCTAAGGTCTGAATCACTCCTTCCAAACACACTAGGGGGATGTGCGAGACTAGTCGACTAAATGTTTACAAATGTAAAACATATATATTTTTACGAAGACTACATGTTAGACTTGCATTGTTAAATCAATGTATAATTTTGAAAAGAGTATATCTGGAGCGTAAAACAAAATGTATTTGTTTTAACTCAGACCTTACATGCATTCTTGTTCTCTGTGTCAGTACTAATAGATCTTTCTCCCTATTTTCTTAGATCACATGTCTTAGTTTCAGTGTCTATGTGTGTTTCAGGCTCCAGTGGAAGCAGTGGTGGAGAGGTTTTGGCATGTGTTCCAGCCTCTTCTCTTTGGTCTCATCGGCGCTGAGGTTATCATTACATCTTTGGAGGTCACGACTGTGTGTGAGTGTCATACTCCCAGTTTGACAATTCTCTGTTGTCATGTTTCAGTAAAATAGCTGATTGAGCCGATGAAGTTGATCAACTCAAATGTAATGTGTCCTCAGTTCTGGGTATAGCAGCCCTGTTCATCGCACTCACGGTACGCCTGCTTATCACTTTTGTTGTGGTACTGCGAGCCGGCTTTAACCTGAAAGAGAAAGTCTTCATCACTCTAGCCTGGATGCCTAAAGCAACAGTACAGGTATACTTGTCGAGTCTAACAAATAGACCCTCTTTTTTACTGTGCCTTTATCTTTTACTCAGTCCTTCTAGGTATTTTAGACAAGTGTGAGCTAAATGACACAAAATGAAATGCATATGAGATCCCTATGAATGCTGTGTGATTGGTGTCAGGCTGCTATAGGCTCTACAGCTCTGGACATGGCGCGCTCCAAGAATGACCTTGAGCTGCAGAAGTATGGCATGGACGTCCTCACTGTGGCTGTGCTGTCCATTCTCATCACCGCTCCTGTTGGAGCGCTCCTCATCAGCCTGCTCGGTCCTCGACTCCTGCAGAAACCAAAGAACACTGAGTGGGGTGAGATATGTATAACCTAGTGAGCTGGCCACCTAGGCAACATTTTTAGGAATCATTGGCAGGATTCTGAAGTCACAGTTGGCACAAAAATTTTGCTTGGATAAAAAAAAAAAATAATAATTGGTCAGGAAACATAATTATGTTTTGAAAAATGTTTTTATCATTTGATTGATTTTAAACAATTAATTAAATAAAGATTAGAACATATTGGCCAAACCAAGAACTAGTGGTTCTAGTAAATATTTTTATCCAAGATTTTGTAGCTGAGAGACATGGTGGAATCAGTGCCTAATTGCTTTCATAAGATGGTCAGAATATAATATATTAAGAACACAAATTGTCATTAAATAATTATTTAATTCCATGTCATCTTTCTGCTAGACGATCCTTGGTAGTCCCTATGTTGTAAACAGGTTTGTTTACAACATAATTAAATATATATTATTAATTAAATGTATGTATATATATTTAATAATTAAATATATATTATTGTAATATTAAACATAATTTGTAATATTTAAATATTGTATTTACAAATAAAATATATTAGAACACTGGATTCAGTTTTGCCATTGCAGGAATAAATTACATTTTTACTAAATATGTTAAAATATGCAAATATACTAAAAAAAAAAGAAAGAAAGAAAACTGGTATTTTAAATTGTAATTATTTTACAATATTACTGTTTTTACTGTATTTTTTTATCAAATAAATGCAGACTGGGTATTAAGCATGAGATGACTTTCAAAAACATGGAAAAATCTTAAAAAATTGTATATACACATACATGTATGTACAGTATGTATATGTCCGCAATGAATCTCTTTCTTGCAGCATTAGTCGTTAGCTTAGCAACATGAACATTAGTCGCTCTTACATGAGAAGTGCTATTTGTGTGGTATGCGTGAAACAGCATTAAGGGTCCGATCTAAACTGCATAGCTGTGCAAATAATACTAAAGTAGATTTCTGCAGTTGTCTTGCCACCAAAAATATATAGCAGCTAATCTATTTTGATAAACATGCGACATGAGATGCACATGGAAATGCATCACCACAGCTTGGTGAATTTGCATGCTGGCAGGTCACCCTTTGTCCTGTTTCACGCTGTGTTTGCTTTATTGTTTGTACAATGCTGGCTATTGCACTTTGCTAATGTGTTAAAAAAAACACAAAATGCTTCAGTTTCTATGAGACCAGATTTAGTTTACTTCAAATTCATAAACCTGCTTAGTGTGAAAATATGATATGAACCCTTCTTATAACTAGCCTACTGTACATATTTTTTATATACTCTGTTCATAAATAGTATAAATAGATGTAATAAGTAACTGAAATCTCTCTAACAGTTGCTTGGTACTAACATTTTTCATTGTGTTAAATTAATGTGTATGTTTGTGTTACTTGTCATTTTCTGAATTGTAGCGGTCAGCCAAGGTGCTTTATCTGCATTGGGGACCCCGGTGACTTACGAGAGTGCCCTGTGATGTTTCTGGAATGCTTCTGGGAAGTGACAACCCGACATCCAAGGCTGCTGATTATCCTTTTTGTCTTCAAAGTGGATTCTCAAACTCATTGCTGCGACCCTCTGAAGTCAGACTGCAAAAGTGACAGGCAATGTTTTTTTAAATGAAGGAACCCAACTCTCATTTTTTACCTTCCAAGGTGGATGAAAACACTATTATTTTTTTCTAACTGGCTTACGTTTGTGTTGATAGTATTTCTTACATTAGATATATTACAGATGAGTCTGCAGTGACTGCATGTCAGCGTTACTGAAAGTCGTGTAGTGGTCAGTGCCGGCATGACTGTGTTCGTAATGGAATATACCCTTCTATATTATACCCTTCTATATGAAGCCCTTCTATATTTTTATATTTATATGCACAGCTTGTCTTATAATATAATATAATATAATATGTCAAAGTCCTCAAAACCTTTAGAGAAACCACATATGAATTTTATATGATTATATGATTCCCTATATAATGTGTAAATACATTCTTAAAGTATATGGATATTAGGCTTACACTGGCATGAACTAAAAAGACAACTATATCATTAATTGCAAATAATTGAAAATGACATTGACAACATAATGTCTGATGTTGATGCATCAAAAAAATTGTTTCAAAATCCTTCACAAGTGACTATCGTGAGCTGTGACATAAAATGCATTAAAAAGTCATAATTGGTCATTAATTTAATGTTAAATTAATTTAGTTTTAATAGCCCCGAAACAAAGAAATGGACAGTGGAAAATGTTCAGTATAATACATGCCTATTTATTTTGCTATTGTCAATGGATGGCGATGGTTATTTTAAATTGATTTTTTTTTTATTAAAAAAATAATATTTAACATTCTGATCAAATAATGAGGCTAGAAAAAGAGGTTTCTTTGAATTCATACGTTGGGTATGTTACAGGATAAAGAGTATTTCATTCAAGAGTTACATTTTGGCAAATGTAGTAGTTTATCGGAGTATTCCAGGCATATTATATACTGCAGTAATAGTAGGAGTAGTATGGTAATAACTATTCCGAACACAGTCATGGATCTGCATTCTGAGATTGAGCAGTGTTTTTGCAGGTATCTTGTCAGCCCTGTTACACATACAATCAAATACTGCTGTAAAAATTCTGTGCTCACGTCGGAGCTCAGTTACATTTAGTGTTTAAAGTGGAAGTACTTTTTAGAACCTAAAGAAGGATTTTTTATTAGTAGTAGTAGAATGACAAATCGTACATTTGCCTGAGCATTGCACAGTTCGTCATGTTACTTTCTATGAACCATATTTAAGTGTTTTTATCCATATGATTGTTTTCATGAAATGTATATTTGAATGTTATATAGAGTCATGAGAAAGGGCATTGGCAATATAACTTATCTTGTGAATACTGTTAGTGGTTTATGTTTACTGCTTGAAATTTACAAGGTTTTGTGTTGTGGTTTTGTTACAGTAATTGTAATGATTCATGCAGTCACTGTTAATTTAAGCAATTAAATTACTACTTTTAAGACCTTATTTTTATATCGTCATCTTTATATAATAACTTCATTTCTATGGTGCATGTGTAGTTTATTTGTAGATGTATTGCTGCAGAAAATGAATGACATTTGCCTTTTTAGTAAATGACAGGCAAAACCCCCCGTTCATATCTGAAAGCATATCTTGTTATATCATCTAAAGCAAATCAGATGTAAATAAGCAGCAGTTACTTTCTAAGAAGACATTTCAAGCATTGGTGTGGTAGTTACACCATTGTTTGTTTTAGGAAAAGTACACAAAAGAAACAGAAACTTAGAAAAAACAAGCAGACTGTTGGGATGGCATCACATATCCGTCAATCACACTTTTTTAATAAAACAACAAATAAGCACAACAAAAACAGCATTTTTTTGGGCACCCCTTTTTGGGTACCGGGATGATAACAGATTTTTTCCACAGTACCGGCACAGTATGAGTATCTATAGAGAACTGAAATAATTTATGCCAGGCAGATGACAACTCCTCAGCAAAAGTCTTTAACACAAACGTGGACATATTATCTGGGCCCGTGGCTTTGTTAGTGTGTATAGTTGTAAAGATCTTAGTAACAGCATGTGATTCAATTAAAATTCTGTCCGAGTTCATATCACAAATTACATTCTCTAAAACTGCCATACATACCTTAACATTGTCATTATCTGTATGAAAGCGCAAATAAAAATTATTCAGTTCATTGGGCCTAGCAGTTTCGCAGACAGTGGCTTCCTTTATATGTCCATATTGGTCATCTGTCTGATTGAATTCCACAGTTTCTTTGTATTAGATGTATACAAGTCCTGTTCTGCCCGCTTGGAAATTGAGGTCCTTTTGAGCATCACGGACACCTGATAAAAAACCAGGCAGTGTTTTAGTCAGGCTACAATGATTAAAATCACAGAGTATCAGCATAGGTGCATCAGGTTTACTCTGGAGAAGGTGGTGAACACAGTCCATAATCTGCTTAGCTGCTCTATTGGCATTCCCGCTTGGTGGAATATATACAAGACACACAAAGATGTTAGTGAATTCCCTAGGCAGGTAATGTGGTCGCAGGGTAACGCACAGCAGTTCGAGATCAGGATTACATATTTTCTCTCTAATTGCAATATTACGACACCAACTGTCTCTTATATAGATACACACACCCCCTCCCTTAGTTTGACCTGAATTTGCATCTCTGTCCAATCGTACGTGGGAGAAACCCTCAATTTGTATAAGATTGTCAGGCACATCATTCCCAAACCACGTTTCAGTAAAAGCCATTAGACCAGACCCACGGAATTCATAACAGGCTCCCACCTGCTGGCGTAGGTCATCCATTTTTTTAAAGAGCGAGAGTTGCAGAGAATCATAGGTGGCAGCGGCAGTCTGTTTGCTCTCCGAACCCGCTGCCTGATGCCACCCCTCCGCACTCTCTTCCTGGCTTTCCCACAACGGCAGAGGCCTGGGCCTTCGGGACTCCGAAGTAGCTCCCGGACTTTTATGGACTTCCTTGGTGTTAGTGGTCCCATTTTATATTAGTGGTCTTTCTTTCGCCCTCTGCAGGCACCGTGTGGTTAAATGTGCTGAGGGGACCACTGGAGGTATTGGGTGGCGCGGTCACTGGTGTGGCCCTAGGGTACTTTCTACGTTACTTCCCCAGCAGAGACCAGGTACGTGAGCTACAACTTTATGATTGAGAAGTACATGCTGAGATTCAAAAATTGATGTTGTCAGGTTAAAAGTGTTCATGGTTGTTGGTGATTTGTGTCTTTTATCTTACCACGCAGGGAAATCTCGTGCTGAAGCGTTCCTTCCTGTTGTTGGGGCTGGCCGTGTTTGCTTTGTTTGGCTGTAACGTGGCTGGGATTCCTGGCGCAGGAGGACTCTGTTCGCTGGTGCTGACGTTTGTGGCTGGAATAGGCTGGGGGAATGCTAAGGTCTGAATCACTCCTTCCAAACACACTAGGGGGATGTGCGAGACTAGTCGACTAAATGTTTACAAATGTAAAACATATATATTTTTACGAAGACTACATGTTAGACTTGCATTGTTAAATCAATGTATAATTTTGAAAAGAGTATATCTGGAGCGTAAAACAAAATGTATTTGTTTTAACTCAGACCTTACATGCATTCTTGTTCTCTGTGTCAGTACTAATAGATCTTTCTCCCTATTTTCTTAGATCACATGTCTTAGTTTCAGTGTCTATGTGTGTTTCAGGCTCCAGTGGAAGCAGTGGTGGAGAGGTTTTGGCATGTGTTCCAGCCTCTTCTCTTTGGTCTCATCGGCGCTGAGGTTATCATTACATCTTTGGAGGTCACGACTGTGTGTGAGTGTCATACTCCCAGTTTGACAATTCTCTGTTGTCATGTTTCAGTAAAATAGCTGATTGAGCCGATGAAGTTGATCAACTCAAATGTAATGTGTCCTCAGTTCTGGGTATAGCAGCCCTGTTCATCGCACTCACGGTACGCCTGCTTATCACTTTTGTTGTGGTACTGCGAGCCGGCTTTAACCTGAAAGAGAAAGTCTTCATCACTCTAGCCTGGATGCCTAAAGCAACAGTACAGGTATACTTGTCGAGTCTAACAAATAGACCCTCTTTTTTACTGTGCCTTTATCTTTTACTCAGTCCTTCTAGGTATTTTAGACAAGTGTGAGCTAAATGACACAAAATGAAATGCATATGAGATCCCTATGAATGCTGTGTGATTGGTGTCAGGCTGCTATAGGCTCTACAGCTCTGGACATGGCGCGCTCCAAGAATGACCTTGAGCTGCAGAAGTATGGCATGGACGTCCTCACTGTGGCTGTGCTGTCCATTCTCATCACCGCTCCTGTTGGAGCGCTCCTCATCAGCCTGCTCGGTCCTCGACTCCTGCAGAAACCAAAGAACACTGAGTGGGGTGAGATATGTATAACCTAGTGAGCTGGCCACCTAGGCAACATTTTTAGGAATCATTGGCAGGATTCTGAAGTCACAGTTGGCACAAAAATTTTGCTTGGATAAAAAAAAAAAATAATAATTGGTCAGGAAACATAATTATGTTTTGAAAAATGTTTTTATCATTTGATTGATTTTAAACAATTAATTAAATAAAGATTAGAACATATTGGCCAAACCAAGAACTAGTGGTTCTAGTAAATATTTTTATCCAAGATTTTGTAGCTGAGAGACATGGTGGAATCAGTGCCTAATTGCTTTCATAAGATGGTCAGAATATAATATATTAAGAACACAAATTGTCATTAAATAATTATTTAATTCCATGTCATCTTTCTGCTAGACGATCCTTGGTAGTCCCTATGTTGTAAACAGGTTTGTTTACAACATAATTAAATATATATTATTAATTAAATGTATGTATATATATTTAATAATTAAATATATATTATTGTAATATTAAACATAATTTGTAATATTTAAATATTGTATTTACAAATAAAATATATTAGAACACTGGATTCAGTTTTGCCATTGCAGGAATAAATTACATTTTTACTAAATATGTTAAAATATGCAAATATACTAAAAAAAAAAGAAAGAAAGAAAACTGGTATTTTAAATTGTAATTATTTTACAATATTACTGTTTTTACTGTATTTTTTTATCAAATAAATGCAGACTGGGTATTAAGCATGAGATGACTTTCAAAAACATGGAAAAATCTTAAAAAATTGTATATACACATACATGTATGTACAGTATGTATATGTCCGCAATGAATCTCTTTCTTGCAGCATTAGTCGTTAGCTTAGCAACATGAACATTAGTCGCTCTTACATGAGAAGTGCTATTTGTGTGGTATGCGTGAAACAGCATTAAGGGTCCGATCTAAACTGCATAGCTGTGCAAATAATACTAAAGTAGATTTCTGCAGTTGTCTTGCCACCAAAAATATATAGCAGCTAATCTATTTTGATAAACATGCGACATGAGATGCACATGGAAATGCATCACCACAGCTTGGTGAATTTGCATGCTGGCAGGTCACCCTTTGTCCTGTTTCACGCTGTGTTTGCTTTATTGTTTGTACAATGCTGGCTATTGCACTTTGCTAATGTGTTAAAAAAAACACAAAATGCTTCAGTTTCTATGAGACCAGATTTAGTTTACTTCAAATTCATAAACCTGCTTAGTGTGAAAATATGATATGAACCCTTCTTATAACTAGCCTACTGTACATATTTTTTATATACTCTGTTCATAAATAGTATAAATAGATGTAATAAGTAACTGAAATCTCTCTAACAGTTGCTTGGTACTAACATTTTTCATTGTGTTAAATTAATGTGTATGTTTGTGTTACTTGTCATTTTCTGAATTGTAGCGGTCAGCCAAGGTGCTTTATCTGCATTGGGGACCCCGGTGACTTACGAGAGTGCCCTGTGATGTTTCTGGAATGCTTCTGGGAAGTGACAACCCGACATCCAAGGCTGCTGATTATCCTTTTTGTCTTCAAAGTGGATTCTCAAACTCATTGCTGCGACCCTCTGAAGTCAGACTGCAAAAGTGACAGGCAATGTTTTTTTAAATGAAGGAACCCAACTCTCATTTTTTACCTTCCAAGGTGGATGAAAACACTATTATTTTTTTCTAACTGGCTTACGTTTGTGTTGATAGTATTTCTTACATTAGATATATTACAGATGAGTCTGCAGTGACTGCATGTCAGCGTTACTGAAAGTCGTGTAGTGGTCAGTGCCGGCATGACTGTGTTCGTAATGGAATATACCCTTCTATATTATACCCTTCTATATGAAGCCCTTCTATATTTTTATATTTATATGCACAGCTTGTCTTATAATATAATATAATATAATATAATATGTCAAAGTCCTCAAAACCTTTAGAGAAACCACATATGAATTTTATATGATTATATGATTCCCTATATAATGTGTAAATACATTCTTAAAGTATATGGATATTAGGCTTACACTGGCATGAACTAAAAAGACAACTATATCATTAATTGCAAATAATTGAAAATGACATTGACAACATAATGTCTGATGTTGATGCATCAAAAAAATTGTTTCAAAAGCCTTCACAAGTGACTATCGTGAGCTGTGACATAAAATGCATTAAAAAGTCATAATTGGTCATTAATTTAATGTTAAATTAATTTAGTTTTAATAGCCCCGAAACAAAGAAATGGACAGTGGAAAATGTTCAGTATAATACATGCCTATTTATTTTGCTATTGTCAATGGATGGCGATGGTTATTTTAAATTGATTTTTTTTTTATTAAAAAAATAATATTTAACATTCTGATCAAATAATGAGGCTAGAAAAAGAGGTTTCTTTGAATTCATACGTTGGGTATGTTACAGGATAAAGAGTATTTCATTCAAGAGTTACATTTTGGCAAATGTAGTAGTTTATCGGAGTATTCCAGGCATATTATATACTGCAGTAATAGTAGGAGTAGTATGGTAATAACTATTCCGAACACAGTCATGGATCTGCATTCTGAGATTGAGCAGTGTTTTTGCAGGTATCTTGTCAGCCCTGTTACACATACAATCAAATACTGCTGTAAAAATTCTGTGCTCACGTCGGAGCTCAGTTACATTTAGTGTTTAAAGTGGAAGTACTTTTTAGAACCTAAAGAAGGATTTTTTATTAGTAGTAGTAGAATGACAAATCGTACATTTGCCTGAGCATTGCACAGTTCGTCATGTTACTTTCTATGAACCATATTTAAGTGTTTTTATCCATATGATTGTTTTCATGAAATGTATATTTGAATGTTATATAGAGTCATGAGAAAGGGCATTGGCAATATAACTTATCTTGTGAATACTGTTAGTGGTTTATGTTTACTGCTTGAAATTTACAAGGTTTTGTGTTGTGGTTTTGTTACAGTAATTGTAATGATTCATGCAGTCACTGTTAATTTAAGCAATTAAATTACTACTTTTAAGACCTTATTTTTATATCGTCATCTTTATATAATAACTTCATTTCTATGGTGCATGTGTAGTTTATTTGTAGATGTATTGCTGCAGAAAATGAATGACATTTGCCTTTTTAGTAAATGACAGGCAAAACCCCCCGTTCATATCTGAAAGCATATCTTGTTATATCATCTAAAGCAAATCAGATGTAAATAAGCAGCAGTTACTTTCTAAGAAGACATTTCAAGCATTGGTGTGGTAGTTACACCATTGTTTGTTTTAGGAAAAGTACACAAAAGAAACAGAAACTTAGAAAAAACAAGCAGACTGTTGGGATGGCATCACATATCCGTCAATCACACTTTTTGAATAAAACAACAAATAAGCACAACAAAAACAGCATTTTTTTAGAGTTTAAAAAAAATCAGGGATGTAAAATAAGTTGGTTACCTTTTATTTTACAAAAGTCATTAGGCACATTCCAGTTACCATACAAATGTAATTTTTATGAAAACACTTATGAACACGAGCCATCAAATATGAAACATGGCACTCAACAAAAAAAAGAACCAAGGGATTGTCAACCTATTTTGAATAGGAATGACTGCACAGGTATTATGAATTGTAATTGTTGCAGCATGTTGGTTCAGGTGGAAGTAAAAAGAGGCCACGTTTCTTTCTTATATTATGATAAATATTGTAATATATGAATAATGTATAACAATAGCTCTGACCAAAGCTTTTGTTACAATCTAATGCAATGTGAAATGTCTATGTATGCAAACACCAGTCAAATTTAGTATCCTGCACTTGGAAACCTTAAAATAATTTAGCAAACATTGTAGAACTCTTGTCGGTTTGGGAAAAATTCTGCAGAAAATGACAAATAAGTAAAAACAACAAAAACTAATCCCAATAATGTACTTCACATTGAAAAGTTAAAAGTATTTGATTTTTTTATGTTGTCTCATAAAATGTCAAACGCATGTTTTATCACATGACAATACAACAGTAAAAGTAAAAGGCAACTTAATGTTAAAACTGAATCTAGATACAGATTAAGAATAGAAAAGACACTCTCATGGCCACAAAGACTGATCAGTGAGGATAATCACCATTTTTGCCTATGGCCAAGTTATATTGCACACAAAAATCTACTACATTTGCCAAGTATAAAAAGTAAACACACCAGAGCAATGTAACAAAAAGTAATTAATCGGTAACACTTTACAATAAGGTTCATTAGTTAACATTATTTAACTACTTTAGTTAGCATGAACTAAGAATGAAGAATACTTCTACAGCATTTATTAATCGTAGTTAATGTTAATTCCAACATTTACTAATGCATTATTAAAATCAAAAGTTGTGCTTGTTAACATTAGTTAATAAACTGAGAATTAACATGAACTAACAGTGAACAGCTGTATTTTCATTAAATCTACTACATTTGCCAAGTATAAAAAGTAATTAATCGGTAACACTTTACAATAAGGTTCATTAGTTAACATTATTTAACTACTTTAGTTAGCATGAACTAAGAATGAAGAATACTTCTACAGCATTTATTAATCGTAGTTAATGTTAATTCCAACATTTACTAATGCATTATTAAAATCAAAAGTTGTGCTTGTTAACATTAGTTAATAAACTGAGAATTAACATGAACTAACAGTGAACAGCTGTATTTTCATTAAGCAACATTGTTTATTAATCTTCGTCAATGTAATAAATGTATTGTGCATTGTTTGTTTATGTTAGTTAATACATGAACTAATGGAACCTTATTGTAAAGTGTCACCAATTAATCTCACAGATCAACCACGATATCTTGAGCATTAAAGTCAAAATTTACAGCTCTATGCGTCTCTACACCACAATAAAAAGTTGGAAATAGTTTTGGGTAAGTACAACAAACTAAATTACAGTAGGTTTTTCAGTGGAGAAAATATGTATTTAATATGGGCCAAAGCAGGAGGGCTACAGAGTCTTCTTCTTAAGAATAAGTGGACCAACGTTGTCTCCCGTCAGCTCGTTATGCTTTATGTGTGATTTATCGCAAACAGGAAACTGCAAGATAAGAAAGAACAAATTAAGTGCTGATAGAGAGAGTGGTTCTTAGGCACCCTGAGGCTTTTGACAAAATTACACTTACAAAGAGGAAGGAGAAAATCACACTTTTTTTTTTCATTTTACACATGCACATTAATAGTTTCACTAAAGTTTTTTTTTTTAAGGGGACATATACATTTGTATTTATTTTATAATACGTTTTCCCTCTGATCCGATTATAATGTTAATCAATGTATTTTTTTTTGTGCCAATAAGTCACAATTTAGTTTTTCCATGTCCATTTTCCCTACTGTTTGATTGCTTGTATCACCTTCCAGCTCTAATCTGCTAAATGTGACTAATGCATTAAGATATTAAAAACATTAACATCATGATTTTCTATAAAGCTGCTCAAAACAATGTGTATTGTGAAAAGCGCTATACATAATTTGACTTGACTTTGGATTTAGTTTTTCCATGTCCATTTTCCCTACTGTTTGATTGCTTGTATCACCGTCCAGCTCTAATCTGCTAAATGTGACTAATGCATTAAGATATTAAAAACATTAACATCATGATTTTCTATAAAGCTGCTCAAAACAATGTGTATTGTGAAAAGCGCTATACATAATTTGACTTGACTTTGGTGCTGTTTTAGTATATGTTCACAGTACGTTGATCTACTTTACAGTTTCTCATGATATTACCCATTTAAATTCAATTAAACTGTTTTTCTACAAAAAATATTCTCTCTCTTTTTGTCAGGCATCGAACCTCCTACCGTTTTAGATCGCCAGCATCGGCAGTAGCAAACATTTGGAGTCCTCAGGTCCTCTACGTCGATCTCATTCACCACTTTAGGGTTTTCTTTTTGGATCTTCAGATTTATTAGACTGTCTCTTTGCTTTTTCTTTTTGGGCAGGAAGGGCCGGATGGTCAGATAACCCAACAGAGCCAAAATCCCCAATAAGGGCAGGAGCCGCAACCACTCTGAAACTGAGACACAATCAAGAGTCATCAGAGTTTAGGTTGTACACTTAATTATCACAATGACTCCTCACAATCCACTTAGTGAGGGATCTTCGACTTACTGTGGAAAAATAAGTGTGATAAGTTTCAGATAAAGTAATATCTAATGATTAACACACATACTTGCACACATGTGCATTAGTGATAACGAACCTGTCATGAACTATTGCGTTACACAATGTCCGTTGCTTGACCCTGATGATGGGTTAATTTAGGTGTCTGTACAGTTACTTTAACACATTTACAGATGCAAATAGTTGTGCATTTATTGTACCATCTTTTATAATACTATAATAAAGCAAAGCATGCTGTCAGATGCTCTGCTTATTTTGTTCTTCACATTTCTAAAACAGACTCACTGGTGTGGATATTTTGTATACGAAAGTAGAACCACTTGTGCAATGAGGCACTGCATCTTGAGTATCTTCTCAATAACTGTTTTTTTTCCAAGCAATTAATTAGTTATGACTTGTTTGAGCGTCTTTCTATGCAGGCATGCGCGATTAACTGAACTTTCCACCTACGCTTGACATTTAGTATGATAAAACACATACCTGTGAGTCTCGCAAAGCCGCCGATTGTGTCTGGAAGGGGTAGATTCTTAAGGTAGGCTGGAAGTTGCGTTTTGATAATCTTGGAGATACTTTCTAACACCATCTTGAATGACTTTCTGCGCTTCTAATTGAGACACAGCAGGATATTTCCTGGGACATTCTACGTCACTTGCGTAGTCGTTTCCGTTTGCTCGTTGAAGTGGGGCTACTCAAGGCTGGAAGAATATACGTAGCTGTGACCGTGAATAAGCGTAAGTTCACGGCGGGCAGTGAAAGCGTCAACCAATCAGCATCTGCAGAGTTGTTTGCGCCCGATTGGCTGCTTTCACCGCGCCACTTGCTTTTAGTTTTAATGGCTCTTTACTTTCAGTTGTACAGAAAAAGAGTGGACAATAACAAATTAATATTTCATAAGTAATAAAGTTAGAGATATCCTGTTAAAAGTATTTGAACGATTTAATTTATATATTGAAATTCGTGAAAATTGTATGGTGTTGCAAAAGAAACTTTTTCGTGTGCATTCAAGATTTTTATTTATTTATTTATTTTACTTTTTGGACCGATGTCTTTAACTTTTCAATAATATTTGGGTTATTATTACATAACAAATTGCATAATGTAATTAGATTTTTGTACATGATAATATTGATTGCAATATTATTTGATCATGCTTCTGTTTATTTTACTTGGAAAGTATCATATTCATGTGAGAAAATGAACCAAAGCTAAGCCATATTTTATTACGTTTATAAACGAGATTAAACAATATGGATCTGCTTTGAAATTAAATTAAAAAAAATTGCTTTCTTTTCTTTTTCCAGTTTTTCTCGCAAAATTTAAAAGAAAAAAAAATTCTGCTGTCAAAAATAAAATCAAAATATGTAATACAAATGGATACAGTGGATGCAGTGTCACTTTCTGTGGTGTACTTGCTGCAAAGAATAGTAGTAACATTATATTATATTATATTATATTATATTATATTATATATTCAAGGCAGTCATGCAAGAACAACATTCTCCAGCATTCTTTGCGCTTTTGAGCAAATAATGCCCGTTTTCATAGATTAATTTAAAACACAGAGATAAATTTATTTCTAAAGTCACATGTAATGCTATGGTGTGTTTTTAGATGTTATTTACGCCCTATGAAGGCGTTTATATATCTGCAGGCATCTAGCAGGACTACTATGTGCGCTGACGTTTAGGTCCATGTCTGTCCGGTGTCATTGGTGAATGACCGAAGATGTCTCATAGCAGGTTGTTTGCCCGGTTGCTCTGTAAGTAAAACAGACATGAGTGTTGTTACATTTGAAACACATCGCTGTCTTTGTTTTGACATTACTGCATCCGCTATTCTACACGTTGAAGTCGTTTATAAAAAAATAATAATAAAATCTAAATATGGATACAAATGGATACAGTGTACAGTGTCACTTTCTGTGGTGTAATAATGGTGCAAAGAGTAATATTATTAATAATAATAATAATAATAATAATAATAATAATAATTTACTGTTGATTATATATAATCCGATTAATTATTATGTTATATTACATTACATTAACATTACATTATTATTCAAGGCAGTCATGAAAGAACAACATTCTCCAGCATTCCTTGCGCTTTTGAGAAAATAATGTCCGTTTTCATGGATTAATTTAAAACGCCGAGCTAAATTTATTTCTAAAGTCACATTTAATTATATGGTGTGTTGTACGTGTTATTTACGCCCTATAAAGGCGTTTCTTTCTCTTCAGGCATCTAGCAGGACTACTATGTGCGCTGACGTTTAGGTCCATGTCTGTCCGGTGTCATTGGTGAATGACCGAAGATGTCTCATAGCAGGTTGTTTGCCCGGTTGCTCTGTAAGTAAAACTGACACGAGTGTTGTTACATTTGAAACACATCGCTGTCTTCATTTTGACATTGCTCCATCAGCTACTGTACACGAGAGAGTCATTTATCTCTTTATTATTTTCAGTAAACACACAGTTAGCTAATGCTAATGCTTGATAACAGCACCAAGTGTAACATATTTAACGTTAACAGTGCACTTCTGAAACGTGACCTTTACTGGTAAATATGCTTCACTTCAAACTCATCGCGAGGTTAACTTATTATAAATCATTTAAAAGATCAGTGTTAATGAACTTGAAAAGTTGCAGACTGACAGCAGTATCATTTGATGTAAGTGCTTATTCATTTTTGGAAATGACAGTCTATGTCTTTGCTACAGTTATGATCAATATTTTATTCATCCTCAACTAGGATGACAGTGTTCTTTATCATTTTGCTGAACGCATGTTGACAGGTTGATGCATGAGGACTAATGTGACAAGCTGTGTGTGTGTGTGTGTGTGTGTTTTCTTAAAAGCAATATAATAGAAAATCAAAATGGTCAAAAAGTTTGCTGTAATCTGTGAGTATTGCCATATTTGAATATTTTGGTTCTCTGTTAACTCTTCCAGTCTTGCCCAATTCAAGTGTCTGTCAATAAGGGAATTTTCACTCACAGAAAGTAGTGTTGATTAACTTCTCTCTCAGTGCGATATATTGCATACTATACCTTTTCAGAACCAACAGTATACTAAACAGAAATTACAGTGTATGTATTGTTGCATTTATTTCACATCTGTAGGAATTCACTCAAAATAGATTTGCTATTGAGTAGATAAGCAACTTGTTGTCTATGAGTGGTTTAAAGTGAACTTTAACCAAGAGAAATGTGGACGGACCATCTAATCCAGTTGTGGTCAATAGGCTGTTTCTTTGAAGTCATATTCTCTGCTTTCTCTTCTATTACATAATTCAGGAGCTAAGTCTTCGCTGATCACTTATAAACATATTGGAATTTGTAGTTCAGGCTGGTGCTTTGCAGCTGGTGTTGTGTGTTTGACCCCTGTCTTTTTTTGAGGTCATACCCTTTGGACATCAGACCATGTAGGGAACATATAGAGTAATGTGAATGAAGCTTAGACCAAGTATACTAATGTAGCTGCCAAGCTCACTTCAAAAGCTGCAGATTTGTTTTGAGTTTCCTGACTTAATTTTGTTGTAACCCTACAGGTCAAACATTTGCATTTAGTGTGACAGATTAATAAATAAACTGCAGGCAGTAGGACCCAAATATTACGAAGACGGATATAAAATCCAAACAGCAACATTTGGTCATGCAGGCTTCACTAAGAATTAAAAAAATCATCTTAAATAGTTAATAAACTTTTAGATGTATTTTCTGATTCTTGGTTCTTATTCCACTGTTGTTGTGTTTGTATTCGCAGTGCAGCAGGCTGGGGTGAGACACTGTTATACTGGCAGCAGGAAGAACCTTTACATCAACAAGAACACTAAGGTCATCTGTCAGGGCTTCACAGGAAAACAGGTGTGTAGCCACAGTCTGCGTTCCCCACGGCACCCTGCATTTGCCCAAATGAAAAGGTCTGGATTCACCTCTTTTTCATTTGGTTACTAATTGGAACACAATTAGTACACAATCTCGTTGGTTGTGGCCTGCCTGAGTGAGAGTAAACTGGCTGAGCAAAACAGTAAATCTCACTGTATTTAAACTTGATAAGCTGCTCACCATAACGGACCATAATGGTTTAAAAGTAGTGATGCACTGAAATTTCGGCAACCAAAAATATAATAATATAATCAGCCGGAAATGAATTTTCTGTTTCGGTCAACAGTTTTGGAGGGCAAAAATAGTTGACCGAAACGGTGGCATTTAATAAGTTTCTCTTAATTAGCTAGCTTCTCCGATGGTGAGTTTTGACTGTGTCAGTGTCTGTTTCTTGCACATAACATAGTTAAATGACACATGACAGGTAAACGTGTCAGCTGTGTGGATGGTAGTGCTGGATTAGCAATATTGCTTTCTCGTTTTTAATTTTGATGAACCAAGGTTGTCTATAATGTTTTTTGTTTATGCATGGTCAAGACTTCGCTAAACATGCTGCGCACGTGACGTGACATCCAATAATCACAATAAGCTTTGTGCTTTATTTCTTCTTACTATGAAACAAAGTCTCAGCTTTCAAATTCTGTCATTTTGATAACAAAATTCAGACATTCAAAATGTCATGTTGATGCGCTTTTCTTTTCTTTTCTTTTTTTCTTTTCTTTTTTTTTTTTTTTTTTAATTACTTGGTCCAAATAATATTCCTTTTCTTTTCTTTTCTTTTTTTCTTTTCTTTTTTTTTTTTTTTAAATCTGAGGGACTCCAAATAATATTCTGTGGTAATTTACATCATGCCACAGATGCTGTTGACAAAGCCAAAATTTTATTTAACCCAAAATATTTAAAAGTGGATAAATCCAGTTTTGCAAACAGTGAGCCACAGAATGCAGATGAATATGATGTAAAGCCTGCATGCTTCTGAAACCACACACACAAAAAAAATAATATATATAATTTTAAAGATCGTAGGGTACAGTGGGGTATAGCTGTTTAGCTATAGCTATACCAATCAGGGTACAGTGATTTGTAATAATTAATAATATGGGCCATATCATTTTAAAAGTAATTAATTAATTACTTAATTTTCATATAAAATATGATATGACCTATAAAATATGATATGACTACTTTAAAGCATACTGTTATACATGATCTATCTTGGCTATCAATCTATTCTTGGTTTATTTTTTTAGATGAGGATTTTCTAAATTGTTCTTGACATCTGCCCATAGGCCCTTTATGCTAAAATTGCTGGCTCAAGTATCCAATACCCTTCCTTTTCTTAACCCTGTGATTTATGTCCTATCTCTCATTGTATTTCTCTCGCTCTCCTTCACCCTCTTTAAAACGACTCTTTTCTGTAATAAAGGGTTATTAGATTAAGTTTTAATGAACACTCATTATAATTAGAAAGGGATGAGGAATGTCTAGTGTGTCATTGCGGCATATTAACTTTGCTGTTCGGCTACATAAGCGAACCATACCTCAAATTAATCGCCACACTGTTAACGGAGGCAGCGTGCAGGAAAAATGGCAAAGTTAGCACAGCACTTCAGTGTTAATGAAAGCATGAGAACAAATGATGGTAGAAAAGTTGGCAAGAGGACGGTCTGAAGGGAAATAGATCGGAAGCGTGCCAGATTTCTCATTCGTTCTAATTATATTTGTAACATTACAGTGCAGATATTGACGTGGTACGGGCGACCCTTGACTTTGGATTTTGCGATGTTTCAAAATAATTTGTAATAATTAACATGGATGTAGTGGGGAATGAAGGTTAAAGTTCATGATGTACAATTTCCACTGACTGTTCAAATCCCTAATCATAGGAAAATAGTACATTTCATTTTCATTGATTTTAAAGTGCGTCACATAATGAAGTTGCGTTTGTAAGTCTATGTTCTGGGCTGCATGCAGGTAAATTATTTATGTCATGTTCTGCATTAGTCTCTTCAAATGTCAATTGATTTATCTATGTACTTAAAAAAAATCTTTAGCCATGCAAAGCATGTAATTGTGCCTATAATATGCTATGCATCACTTTTAGGCTGGTTTTCCTGTTCTTTGTATTATTGAAAACTATGATTTACCTTTGTGTAGTGGTTTGGGCTCTGTATTCCAACCAGTGTCATATGTCAGTTTCACATGCAATTTAGAATTTTTATAGATACAAAGGTAATTGGATCTACTCTCTAAGTGACAATCCTCTTTATGTGCATTTTCTTTAGTAAACTATTGTGTTGTGTCTCATTTGATCCAGATCTCATGTCTTTACTCACACCACTGGTCTTTTCTTTTTCTTTTCTTTTCTTTTATGGCCCATTTAGTTTGCGATTTTATTTTTATACGTTTTTTTTCTTAATTTATTTTTTCAAAGCCATTTTCCACCCACTCTCTGACATTTAAAATAAAACTGTCTCTCTTTTTTTTGCTGCTGTGCCTTTTGAGAAGTGCCACCTTTGCACTCTGGTTTGCTCATACTTTGGCAGCAGGTTTGCTTTTGGGTTCAGTACAGATTTTAACATCCTTTATAACAACATCTTTCTGCATTACATCAGTTGTGGCAGGTTCCAGGCCCGGTTCTTCGGGGGTGCTAGAGGGGGTGCTAAGCACCCTCAAATGAAATCAAAAGCACCCTCAGTTAAAGCTGTATTAATGGCAAACTATCCAGTGCGTTATGGTTTGCGCTTTGGACATCGATTTCTGTTTCAACGTGTTTTTGCAGCGTTGAGCAATGTAGCCAATTACAGACATATCTATTCTGTTGATTTCTTGAATCAGAGGCGTTTAAGTTAGAATCCACTCACCGCTCAAATCTCCGGAGTTCTTGCAGGATTTGATTCTGGAGCCGGGCCTGGCAGGTTCACAAACCAATAAAAAATGTGCTGCATTAATGGTTAAGATCAAATTGAACTTTCTAAAAATAGACTTCAGCCATTCCTTCTAACGCTGAGAATTGTAGAACAGCAGATGCTTCTCACAACCAGCAGTGGTTCAAGGTTTAGTGAACTTTCACACACTATACTCTAATATATCTTAAGTTCCACTGGTGTTTAGGAATTATAATATCTACTTATTTAGAATGAACAGTGTGTAGATCACCATCAACAAATTATCCTTTTGAACTGTCGAGGAAGTTTTGTGTTTTCATAGTACGTCAATGTCTTTCACTCAAAAGTAAGATTTGGTTCTTTGTTATATGTCCCCTTTAATGTTAATAGAAGCTGTCTGTGCTGAACGTTAAGTCAAATTCTTCTCTGTCCTTGGTTGAAAGATCTCTGTTTCCTCTCTCTCTGTCTCTAGGGCACCTTTCACAGTCAGCAGTCTTTGGACTATGGCTCTCAGTTAGTAGGAGGAGTGTCTCCAGGCAAGGGGGGCAAAACACACCTGGGTCTGCCAGTCTTCAACTCTGTGAAGGAGGTAATGGCCTGTGTGACTGCTGACAGTCTCCTGCGAGCCACAGTTACTCTCCGGAGTTCTTGCAGCGCGTGCTCCAATTTCAATTTCTGTATATTTCTGCTTAAGGGCACAGGTAAATATGACATTTATTATTGCACATTTTTCTGAAATTAATCGCGTTTAATCCCACCTAACATTAAAGTTTTTAATTTCACATTCAATCTTCAAATTAATGTACAAACAACATAAACACAGTATATTTTTAAATATTTGTTTAATGGGCCTATCCAGTCTTCAACTCTGTGAAGGAGGTAATGGCCTGTGTGACTGCTGACAGTCTCCTGCGAGCCACAGTTACTCTTTGGACAGCTGCTCTGATTCTCTGAGGGTATTGGGGGACTTTTAAGGGGACTTATTTAGAGCAAGTGACACCAACAGTAACAGAAGTGTTAAAGGCCAGATGCCGGCTGTGTTGTCTTTATCAGTTTAAACACTTTCACATAAAGCCCAACTGAAATACCCCAAATTGGACTTTGACCTAATTTGTATTTTGGTTCTGTGCATGATTCTTTAATTGTTTTTTAGGCTAAGGATGGCACAGGGGCTGATGCCACCGTGATCTACGTGCCGCCTCCTTTTGCGGCAGCCGCCATCATTGAAGCGATTGACGCAGAGATACCACTGGCCGTCTGTATCACAGAGGGAATCCCTCAGCAGGACATGGTGCGGGTCAAACACCAGCTGCTCCGCCAGAGCAAGACCCGCCTCGTCGGCCCCAACTGTCCCGGTGTCATCAACGTAAGTGTTGCACTTAAGCTGTTTTTTTAATTCATTTATTTATTTTCTTTTTAATTTGTACCGACACAGCTTTGTTTTTGGAAACTCAACTGGATGATGTTTTGAAGAGAAGGCATATGGTTGAAGTTAGCAAAATTGTGGTTATAATTCTAACACAAAGAATCCACTCTTTGCCTATTGTCTCTCTCTCTCAAAATTAAAACTGTTTCAAATCAATCCAGTATAAAGTCAACATGAAACACATTTAGTATGCATTTTACTTCTGTTATGTGTCAAAAGTGAAATCGCATATTCAACAGGAAACCTGGAATTCCTTGGATTGTGAAAAGTGGTAGCTATACACCACTTATACTATACCATTAAAACAAGTTTGAAGTCAGTAAGAAATTTTTTGTTGTTGAAATAACTGAATAATTTAACTCAACAAAGACACATTAAAGGTGGGGTATGTATTTTTTCAAAAACGCTTTAGAAAACTGAGTCGGGCCGAGTACCAAAACAAACTTGTAGCCAATCAGCAGTAAGGGGCGTGTCTACTCATGATGCGGACGAGAGAGTGCTCAGTCAGTGCACAGGACGGACATTAGCGAGCCAAGCGACAGAAAGATAGAGATGGCGGATAAAAAACAAAAGAGGAAAACGTCTGAGTTCCGCAGCGTTTGTTCCGAAAGAAGGCTTACGATAAGGCAAGAAGTAGGACCCTTGTAAATATTGGATCAGCTTTCCAGTGCTGGAGAGAACTCAAGGAGTGGAAGGCCTATGATCGGACACCGAGGTTGCTTTGGTTCTTCTCGATAGTTGAGTAACACCGTGTCTATACCGGACGCGACAGTTGTCGTGTACAGCTAAAGTCTGTCAACACTGGACGCGATAAAGCGACCATTGAAAATCATTTGAAATTTGTGTCAACGTCATAAATAGAACGCAGCAGCAGTTTTCTGTCGGGGATTTGTCGTGCCGCACCGCATCCAGTGTAGACCATAGATATGTATAGTATATATATATCTATGGTGTAGACAGCATCACTGATTGTAATGAGTTCTATAGTATTTTGCCGCGCCGAGCCACTCGCATCCGGTGTAGACACGGTGTAACATTGGTTTTGCTTTGTTTCACAGAACTAATCGTTGCCTGGGTTGCGTACGTATGTGTGGGGCGGAGCTATCAAAATAGGGGCGAGACCCTTTTGGGGTGATTTTGACAGTGCAGAGCATAACATGCTGATTGAATAGAACTTTTTAAGAGATCCTTGAAAAGCCTAGCGTACCTCATGTCTTCTCATTCGTAAAAGAAGCATCAAAGCCAGAGCTAGAGGGTCTGGATTTGAGATGGACACTTTTTAATACATTGGATTTGTTAGAGTTTCTTACCATGTCAGGGATGATGAGATGTCTCTGCTTGAACATGAACTCAGATGTAGACCGTAGCACAGTGTTCAGACTGCTAAAAAGAGAGTGGTGCAGATCATCACTCATCTGTCAGGGAATTTTAAACTGCAGGGCTGTGCCGTTTCAAGTCATATCACTAGACAGGTTAATTACATTATAAACCTATTAATTAATCAAACTAATGTAATGTAAGAACAATTGCCAATTAAGTACTCAAGTGTATTTAAATTTAAATTGTTGGCCATCTTTTTAATGTAATAGTTAATTGCACTAAATTAATGTTCAATTAACAGTCCAAATTAAATTATAATATTGCAATTTATCTTTATATTGCTCTATTCTTTTCCCTTTTTTCAGGCATTGTATCTAGATCGGGCACTCTTACGTATGAAGCCGTACATCAGACGACACAAGTGGGTCTGGGCCAGTCACTGTGTGTTGGTATGGGAAACTAGCAATCAATTATCCATTATTATAAGTCTACAGAGTGTTTAGTACAGAAAGATCTTTGAACAATGTGTATTTTCTTTCAGGTATTGGTGGAGACCCTTTTAATGGCACTAACTTCATTGACTGCCTGGAGGTGTTCCTGCAGGACCCAAAAACTGAGGGCATCATTTTGATTGGAGAGATTGGAGGAGATGCAGAAGAGAATGCGGCAGAGTACCTGAAACAGCACAACTCTGTAAGCTGCTTCTCATATGTTCACATCTAAAAAGAAAATGCTTTTAAATGTAAAAGTTGAATGTGACTAATAATATTAGCTCAACCTTTTAACTACCTCACCTACCTAAGACAAGGCAAACTGATTTGTCTTTGTGCTTTCTT